CAGTGCTTGCAGCTGTGGGCCCCTTACTGGCCTGTAGCAGGGTGCGCACCCGGGTGGAGGTGTCCCGGCCCTGGGCCGTGAGCAGCCTCCGCTGCAGTCGGCCTCCTGACGTTTCCTGACCTGGCTCCTCTGTACTCAGCCACACGGTTTTAAGATTGCGTTATCTCTGTGTGTGTGTGTGTGTGTGTGTGTGTGTGTGTGTGTGTGTGTGTGTTGGGGTGGGGTCTTAGTGGGGGTGGGGGTAAGGGGGGGCTGATTGTTTTAACTTGTAAAGCACTTTGTACTGCATTTCTTTTTGCCTGAAAAGTGCTATAAAAAATAAAGTTTGATTTGTTTTGATTTGATACAAATAAAACCGGACTGCTGATATCCTGAAACATACCTGAAAGTGAGCCGGATAATCCTGCAGCACTTTTACAAGCAGGTGAAACTCTCCTTGCTTTTGTTTTTACTTCAGTAGCGGATGAACCCTGTGTTTTCCTTTTTTCCTGAAGTGATAGAGCAGCAGGTTCACCCTCACTGCTTGATGGCTCAATTTTTTTGTTACCCTGTGAATTTTCACACTGAGTTGAGGAATCAGGGCATTGTATTTATTTTGCAAGGTTTTTGTCTGTTATATTTCATATCTGATTGATCCAAAGAAACTGAGCTTTAAGACATTTTAATTCTGCCACTGTTCAATAGTCCCATGACATGCCAAGCATTTTGCTAACAGTCATGTTCATGATAGATAATCTTAAAAAATTGATTAGTTTATGTGGAAACTGTCTGCAGTGCCTACTACTTAAATGCCATTTTAGGAATGCAGTCGCACTGATTCACTTACTGAAGGTGGTGTTAAGATATGAATCAATCAATAAATCAATTTCTAAATATAGCACTAATTCACAATGAATGATATCTCAGAGGCTTTGCAAAAAGAGCGGGTACTGACCATGCTTCTTGTTTGCAACATCAACATACAATTTAATTACTTAACTTCCTTGAACATCAGGCAGAAACCTTGATTAAGACCAGTCTCATGTTAGACAGTCATCTGCTTTGTTGGGATTAGGGAGGAAACAGAGGGAGCTGTAGAGAGAGACAGAGAGAAAGAGAGAGTGAGAGTTATTCACAAGTGTAGCATGCTAACTGTAATTGACTGATCTTAATTTAATACATGAAGCTGTCAGCAGGTCTTGTAATTGCTAAGGAAGCTAATGTTGTGGTGAGTACCTGCATCATGCAGTGAATCACATCAACAGAGGGAGAAAAACCGAACACAGACAGTGATCTTGGCTCATTCATAAGGCAGTGTGTATGTTGCTGCAGCTGTTTAAATGTTTTTTTTTTTTTTTTGGAGAGTTATATTATTACTATTGTTCAGAACTTTAAATGTTACTCATATCAGTCAATAATACATCAGAAACTAGAATGTATTTACAGATTTACCTTTAGACTCTTGCAAACTTTGTGGAACTTTGTATTCTGTTTTTAATTAAAAACAAAAAAAATTCTGCAATGATTTTCAAACCTTTTTTCCATCTAGATTCAACTGAATACATTACAAAGACAAGATAGTTAATGTTAGTGCAAATATTTAATAATTTTGAAATTGATGCCGTAACACCTTCCAGAAAAATAAGTTCAGGCTCAAAAAAGCCCCAAAAATACCTCTTTAGATCAGCTATAGGTGAACAGGTTCACTGGAAACAGCTGAGTGTTTTGATTGGATGTAAAAGGAGCATCCCCAAAAGACTCAATCATTCACAAACAAGGAAGGGGCCAGGTACAACACTTCAACTGTGTGAGTAAATAGTCCAACAGTTTGAGAACGTTTCTCTACGTGCAAATGCAGGAATTTAGAGATTTGATCGTCTACTGTCCATAAAATCATCAAAAGTCTCAGAGAATGAGACAAATAGTGCACATAGGCAGACTGGCCTGCCTGCAGTCCAGACCTGTCTCCAAACGAAAACGTGTGGGGCATTATGAAGCCCAAAAAAACTACAATGGAGAGCCCAGACCACTGAACAACTGAAGTGGTCCACTCAGTTCACAAACACTTGACTGATTGTTGTTTAAAGTGAAAGTGATGTAGCATCAAGTAGCTGAGGAGGAATGTAGTATTTTGGATGCTACTGTCAAAAAAAAATAAAAAAAAAACACAAAAGTACAGCTAAGCTACTGAAAAGCTTTTCATTTAGAAATCAGTGGTACTACCATCATTTTACGAAAAATGTAACACTATAACTGTCTATCAGAGGAAATGATTATCTAACGTCATCTCTGTAACGGGTATTGACTGGACCCAATTGCAGCACAAACAAGCAGGTTCACTTTAACAACAGTCTTTATTGAACACCAAATCCAATGAAGCAGCAGAGTATAGCAGGTGGGTATGGCAGGATTTGAACTCGGGTCTTCCGGGTGATAGGCGAGCAGATTAGCAGTGGACCACAGGTCAGGCAAGAGTTTTGAACTCGTGAGCAGGGAATTGTCCACCGTCTTAATTTGCTCTACGAGTGTAGTGAAGGGGAGAACGCTCAACTCACAGCTAGAGGAAGATTTCTTGGAGAGTGGTTCAGGTGAGGATCCAGAGCTTGCAGAGGAGCTGACAGAACCAATGCCGGCAGAGGAGGTGAGTTGGCGAGGTGAAGCTGACGAGAAGGGGGATCTCAACAGAGCAGGAACAGGCTGAGTGACATTCAGCTGCAGGCAGACGAATAGCAGGAACCAGGCAGGCAAAGCTCGTAGTCAAGGACAGAAGGCAGGTAGGTTTACCGAGGCTGAGGCGAGAAGCAAAGGTCAGGGGCAGATCAGGTCGATACCAGGTAAGCAGTCCGAGGATAAACGCTGGAGAGTCAGGCATGAGAGCGAAGACAATCTGGCAAAGAGTGAGGGGAAAGAAGCTGCATATATACTGGCCTGATTGGAGATGATGAGCAGGTGAGAGCAGCAGGTGGAAGCAGTTAGCTGATGAGGGGTGTGGCTGAGCAGCAGAGCAGGAGTGGGGCAGAGCAGACTGTTACAATCTCCACATCTCTGTCCAAACACATGGATATTGTGCAAAAAGGCCCCATAACTATAACGGCTTTTATGTCTCTGATCTGTTAAAAATATTAATGAAAAGACCCATAGCATATTGGAAATGGAAGTGAAGTGTTTCAGAAGTGTTTCATCACCACTCACCACAACCATTAACTTGTTTCTCAGTTTCAACTTTTTTTCCCTTGATTCGTGACATTCAGAGGTTCTTCTTCAAGTGCCCGACGATAATAATCTTCCTCATCTCATAATTTTCTCATCCCTGGCCCTTAAACTCGACTGAATAATGCAGAGTAGATTTGAAATAACCTACTTTTCCCTTAAATCTGAGCAGGTTTTTACACAAGCAATTATTATATTTTTTTCATTGGTAGATTTTCTTAAAGTTGTAATGCCTTACTAGTGAGTTTAAAAAAAAATCTCAGTGTTCTTCTCCTTGGCTCTGGGCTGGGAATGAATGTGGCCTTTAAGGAGAGTAAAAGAAATAAATCAGCCTCAGTTGCCGGTGGAAATCTGGGCAGCAGATCTGTCAGATGAATGGAGAGAGTGCTCGCTGAGCTGACAACAATGTCACCTAAATGCCAAACTGCAGAAACTGCTTTCTCTTGGAGATATGTTTGTCCTGCTGCAGCGTCCTTTCATGTCATTCATGAATAAAGGCATGGCAGCAGCACGATGATGGGATCTGACAGATAATACCACCAAGCTGCAGCTCTGTTATATAATTCACAGAATTTACACTCTTACAACCTCCTTCACATTGCTTTGCAGAAACAGAGTTTATACTTTGTGCTGTCCCGTTTCCAAAGATCATTTAAAGTTTACTGAAGTTTAATTTCTGGGTCTCAAATTTGAACCCCTATAGTAGGGCACTTAGGAGACCTCCACTAACCCCACCCCCCCACCCCTTATTTTTTTTTCTAGTCAGGATTTTTATCATCCTTAAGACCTCTAAAAAAAGGATTTTGATGTTCCCAAGAAAAATTTATTTCCCAAAGGTGTGTTTTTTAGAGTTTTGTTACCCCTATGACACAAACGTTTTTGCTGGCAGGATCACTAACGACACTGTCTTTCCGAGAGCGTGGCATGGTCAAATTTTGAGATACCATTGTATTCTGGACAACCACAGCTTTCCAATGGGACCACCCATGCCATGTTAGCTCATTGGGAAGGGGGATAAATACCTAATGATTCAAAGTTAAACAACTTTTTTGCAAAGGAAAAACAACCATCACCATATTCCAAATAGTCCCTTGACTTGTCACCTCTATATATGTTCGTGGAAATGGGTTAAATGTGTTCCCACAAGCCTCCCCTTTACATACATGCCACATTTATGGCAAACACATGCAGTTTTGGGCAAGAACCATTCATTTCTTTGCATGCTGTACAAATGTGTAATTTCCGCCTATTGCAAAAAAAAGGTACTTGCCTATGTATGCACACAGAGAGTTCTTAAACAGTAATGGAATAAGATAAATTAGTATGTCTTGACAGCTGAAGTAAGCCATTTATTTGTGATCTTTAATAGTCCCCATAGTAGTGTAGATGTGTACATTTTCTACAAGTTACATATTGCTCATTGAAATTAATATTAATGGTTTTATGCACAATATGTGTAGTGATAACTCATTTCAGGAACAGTAACCATGTTTGAAAGCAAAATCTAGAGTCGACTTAATTTTAATAGTCCTCTTCATCATTATTCATGTCATCTTCAATGGTCTCATCTTGCTCTTCTTCCTCTTCTTCGCTCTCAGCCTCCACTGCAAGTATGTCAACCAGAGATGAGGGCATGATGGGTCCAGCAGTCCATATAGTCTCAAGTGCTCCCTCCTCATTTGTTTCCCATTCCTGGTGAATGTCAAAGTGTTATTATACCATGGATGTTCTTATTATACATGAAAATCCAAATTGAAGACATAGTACCAAATAGCATTTAAAATGCTATAATGCATATAAAATGATATTTTATGTCTCAGGTCACATCTGAGGAGATCCACAGCCTTCGGTCTAACCAGGAGGAAAGGGACACAAGAATCGTCATCTACTGTAACCACGCTGCTGAGTTGGGGTTCACTTCGACAGTTGTCTGCACACCGGACAGTGATGTTTTGTTCATCTTACTGTACCATGCGCATAACATCAAGTTAACGGTGTACATTGACATCGGTACTGGGATGGGCAGACCACTGGTGAATGTGACTCAGCTGGCAAACGATCTTGGCTCTGAATACTGCGAGACCTTACTTGGGTACTATGTCTGCAGTGGTGAAGATTGCACCAGTGCCTTCAAGGGCAAGGGTAAAGTTGGACCCCTGAAGAAGCTGCAAAAGAACCCCAAGTACCAAGCTGCGTTCAGGTGACATGGCTCTCTTTCATAATTTCACTTCCTTGACTCGAATGACACTTGAAAGTAAACAGTGTTTTCCTATTTCAGGGAACTTGGTGTAGAATGGTGCCTCTCAAGCAGCTGCAAGGAGGACCTGGAACATTTCACATGCCTCATGTATGGTCATGGTCGGGAGAAGAAAGTAGATGCAGTGTGTGTAAAGATGATTCGCAAGATGGTCAGAGACGATGAGTCCCTCTCGGCCAAGTCTAAGGTGGACCTTGGACGTCTCCCACCACCACAGTGCAGTCTCTCCACCCATCTTGATCGCTGCAACCACAGAGTGGCATGTTATAAGCGCGCAGCTGCACCTGTTTTTGAGCGACCGAAACCATATGACCCAGATCAGGTAAGAATGGTTCAATTTGGATTTTCATGTATAACAAGAACATCCATGGTATAAATAACTCTTTGGGCTCTATTTTCGTGCCTCGCCGGAGACGTGATGCAGGCGCGGCATAAGTCAGGTCCGCCGCGCCGACAAGGCATTCCCAAGCACAATTTGGTATTTTGGTGAGCGGCGCAGCCCGGCATAAGTATCTCCCCCTCCCTAACTCAGCTCCTCCCAGCGGCGTAAGTCGTTGCGAGGGAGGGAGGCGTGGAGTGGGTTTAACACAGCTGAGACCTGTTTTCACCAATCACATAAGCTCCTCTCCTTGCCTTTAAATCCGCCACAGGCGAGGCGTATTACTATTTTTGGGAAGTAGTCAAAGAGATCAAGAGATGTCTGAAGACAGTAATGCAACACGATGGCGACAGAAGGCAGCTCCTCAACAAGTGTCACTGTAAGCGCTGCATTGGGTGTCCTCCACACTGTCTCATATGAGCACAGACGGATTTGGTGTGTGTAATGTTGGACCCACTGGTCAGACAAACACCCTTTTCCACAAATAAAGACACCTACATAAAGTTGCATATACTCAAACCTCACGTGACAAAGGTGGGTTGAGCGCACAGATCACAACATAAACTCCAAAAATGGCATTAAAATTGGAACCATCTGTGCGTAATAACGCATGGCGCTCCGTGGCCTGGCTCTTTCTTTCATAGATGTTGGCATATAAAATAAATTTGACTCACAAAACTGAATATTATAATATCCGCATGTAGGCTTCAAGTAAATAACTCATCAGGGGCCTCATGTATCAATACTTGCGTGGAACTCATACCAGAAACGAGCGAACGCAAGGTCCGTCACGCTGAAAATAATTTGTATGTATCAAGGTGTGCAGCGCCCAAAGCCACGTGTGTTTCCTTGATAAATCCCAATCAGCTTGGAATTGAGCGCAGATGTCGGAGTGACCGGGCCCGCCCCCGTTACGCCCATCTATAAATATGCAGATTTATTTAAATAGAGTCTCCCTGTCCTCGCACACAGACAAAATGACAAGAAAAACGAAATTTACGGCGTGCGAGGTGGAGGAGCGACAGCGTGTATTGTTTGGCAGCCTGTCCAGTGGGGTCAGTGCAAAACGAAAATGCTTGGAGTGGGAGAAAGTTTGCAAGAGGGAGAACGCGGTGGGTTCCGAGACACGCACCCCCGTGAAGATTAAAAAAAAGTGGTCGGACCTCAAGGTGGAGGTCAAGCGACGTACAGCTGCCCTCCGGAGGAGTACCGGCCAGACAGGTGGGGCTCCGGGGGAGGAGACTCTCACGCCGTTTGAGCAGCGGGTGGTGGCGATTATGGGGGGCGCCTCTGTGGGGGGGATTGTCGCCGCGGCGCTTCCGCTGGACCACCCGGACGCAGTGGAAGGGTCCTTGCTGTCCTGCAATCGCAGGACAAAATCATCAGGGGGATCGCGGGGATCAACGAGCGGCTGGACCAGCTCGTAAATGTCCTCGAGCGTCTGGTGGAGAAAATAAATTAATTTGGCTCATTGAACTGTGTATTCACTTCTTACCCATTCACATTGTGGTGATGAGATTCTCCCGCGCGAGGACGGCGGCCCGGCAGGGATCAGCTCGCATCCCTCCGTCTGCTGCTGGTTCGTCATGTGGGGTGACGTGCTGCTCGCCATGGGGATGTGGTGCACGCTTGTCACATAGTGAGTCACCAAACACTTCATCATGTATGTCTATTTACTAGATATTTAATTTAATTTAATGCGGTTTCAGCTGTGTTGATTCGGTCAGGTTGTGTGTCCAAACGCGTGCTGAACGCGCTCATCAGATCAGATATAGATCAGAATATATCTATATAGATCTAAATGTATGTGCTGACTCAGATTATTAGTTGTTGATGATTATTTATTGCACTGAAATGTGCCTGACACTGTGGAACATTTATTTATGAGAATGAAGTCGTAACCTGTTATTTCAGAGAGACTTGTTAAAATTAGGGCCATGAAGCATTTGAAGGAACTGTGCTTCAGTATAGGTTTCACAAACAAGGAGATACTTCATCCTTTGGCACATCAGCATCACCTTGTCATAAGTATAAAGACATAAAAAAAGAATATATGAGAAATACGTCTTTTCCATGGGAAAAAAACTGGTGTACTTGAAGGAAATCGCTGCTTTTGTGGAGGCAGAAATGAATATGCTGCGGATATATCCGTTTATGCAGCCGTAAATATCCGTGAATGACATTGAGCTTTAATTTATGATATGAATCCATATGCCATAATAAGGTGTTGGTGTCTCTGCAGGTGTAGGTTACCGTCGGTGTCAGAGACGCGGTGCTCGTCTGAGCTCGACTCCCTCTGGATCACAAATGTTGATCATCATCAGTTTGATTGTTTCTTCAGAAACCACAAAATCTCTCTGAATGACCCGCTGATACATCCAAAGATAACCCTGCAGATGACCAGCTTCAGTCATTTCCCCCTCCACAAAAGCAGCTGTATGACTTTATATACTTTATGACTTTATTCTCCTAAATTTACAACTTTAATCTCTAAAAAAAAACTCAATGTTGTCCTGATACTCTGCTGTAGTTGTGTCAGCTTTCTTATTTCTAATGTTTTTGATAGTTGTAGCAGAGCGGATCAGTTGTCTCGAAATACTATAATGTTTAGTTAACAGATTTTAGTGAGTTAAGAGATCATGCGCACATGCAGCCTGAGCTGACTGTCTGCTGTTTTTGGATTTCTTGTATTTTCTTTAAAGATGCGCTGTGTCTCCAAGCGAGTCCAGCCTTTCACCTGAAATGCGAGGCTGTGCAGCGGCACGCAAAGAATTCAGGGATACCGACGGCACGAAAGCGTGCATAAATGCACGCTTGAAAAAGGGCCAGGGGTAGTGTGGTTTTGAGACCGAATTTGAAGCGCGCTTAGTATTTTGTGCCAAACGGGACACCGTTCGTGCCGCGTGATGACCTCATGCACGCTTCAGATGCACCGTTCGACGGTTGCGGTCTCTGAAATGGGACACAGGAAGGGTACATAACGGCGCAAAACGGCACATAACGGCACAAAATGGCAGTGCACTCAGCTAAGCGCCGTTAAGCGTGCTTATTCCGATGCGGTCTCTGAAATGAGACACAGCCTAAGTATCCTTACATTAGCAGTCGATTGACGCTCCCCTGCATCAAAGTCACATGACATATTTAACCGGATGTAGCTGTAACCGGAAGTGAGGACCTCAAACTATATACCAGTTTTAAAATTGTGTTGATAGACCAAATAAAACCAGAGTTATGATAAATTATGTCCGCAATACTTTTTTTCTGCTTATTTTGATCACGTTCGGCGCTCGATCGCGCTGTATGAGACAGGAAAACATTGCGTGCAGACATTAGCGACAGCTCTTACAGGCGGAAAAGGCTTGCCAAAAGAAAAAAAAAAACACACCACAACATCTCTCCTATTGGTGGAAAACTTCATCACAACAACCAATCCAAAATTATGTGGCGACTGATTGACAAGGGGCGGGCGCTTACGTTCTTCCTGCAATATGAGAAGGGAGGGAGGGACTCTCAGCAGGGATGCAGTCTGGGACACGTAGTTGCAAACCTAGCGACTTTGTTGTTAGATTCAGTGACTTTTCAGACCCCCTAACGACTTTTTTAGAAAGAAAGGGACTTTTATCGACTTCTTCTGGAGTTTAGAGACTCTAACATGAAGCAGGCTTTCCTTACTGAGGAGTTAGCAACGAGTTAGCAACGCTGCTAAGGCTGCCGAGCCACACATGCGCTCCGAGCTCTGCATGGGAGACTGAAGCTGACAGAGCTGCAGCAGTGAGCAGGTTTCACCCTCAGAGACCACCAGGGGTCCATGTTGAGGCATTTGCAATTGTATTTTTTTTTTTTTTTTGTTGCCATAGACACAGTCAGCACAATCTGCAGTAACACTAACAAAAATGCTGCAAAAAACAAGAATTATGGAAAAATTACACATGGTCTGACATAGAGGAGGATCTACACAAGTTTTTTACATCATGCATCATTTACATCATGTTTTTTTGTAGTGGCATAAATAAAATGTGACATTTGTGAGACTATACATTGTTTTGTAAATGGTTGTACAAAAAACGTCTGAGGCATTGCCTGCATTTTGATGTAAATAGAGGTAAATTACTATGTTATTTGTTAAAATTTTGCATATGTTTTGAAGTTTACAATTTTTATTTGCAGTTTAAGTTTTTGAAAATGATTCGTCACACATATTTGTGGTTTTCACAGTAAAAATGTTACTTTTTTCCACTCGGATTTTATGTTTTGTGTGTGAATTTAGGTCCATTGTGTAAATAAAGTATGTCAAAATGATAAAATAACTGTAAATTCACACAGGTGAGGTTGTGCTGAAAAAAAATATACCAAGCAAGGCAAGGTAAACAGTTTCTAAGAGGAAATATAAAGGTAAAATCAAAAGTAGTCAAAAATGGCCAATTATACCCCTGGTCTACATTTTCTATTCAGCTCTTAGTTTATAGTCAAGGACATTTTGGTGCAAAGTATTCACTGGAGGATAACCACACTTTTCAAAAGTACTTTAAGCAACTTCAACCACTGCGTACCCTTGTGCTGAAGACACATCTTTGCCCTACAAGAGCATGTCAAGAGAGCAGTATACCAAGGAGGCCACGTGTGGGGTACAGTCCTGGTGTCAACACCATAACTACCTTCACTGAGTGAATGGGGCTGGTCAAAGACATCTGAGGGGGACTTTGAACCCTTCTGGACATCCCTACCAGATGCTGGCCAGTCCAGTTATGAACTGGTCTCTTGCAAATGCAAGAAGGGTTGTGTTGGGCAGTGCAAGTGCAAAAAAGCCCACTTACAGTGCACAGCCCTTTGTTTCTGTGAAGGCGAGTGTGAATAGTCTTCCCTATTATAGACACTGGGTTTGTCTTGCTTAATATTAGCCTTGTGAGATGGAAAGAAGACTCTTGGAAATTCTAAAGTTCTTA